GAGCCCCGCTGCTGGGCGCCCGGGTGCTGGCCGCTGCCTGCACAGGAGTCGGCTCCCGCCCCCCGCCCGGTGCCCGTCTCCCTTGTGTCCGCCTGGCAGCTCCTCCACCACCTGCCCCTAAAGAGACGCAAGTTCCCCCTGAAGCCAGCTAAGGAAAGCGCGCCCGGCCCGTCCAGGGGTCCAGAGCAGCAGCCGCGCAGATGTCGTGGGAGGCCCCAGAGCGGGGACGGCCCTCGTCTGTCCCATCAGGGCGCTGACTCTCAGTCACGCCCCGCAGGCCTTAGTCCTTCCCACAGGAAGTCACTTCCCATGAGCTTCAATGTCTCCGCGAATGGCATTTGGCGAAAGGAATCATCTGAGGGCGATTCCTTTTTTTTTAGAGCTTCCAGGTCAAAAAAGTCTGGGAATCAGACTTCAGCTCTGTTGTTTTCTGAAGGAGTCTTCAGTGTCACATGGTCGATCTCGGCGGTGACTCAACTCCTGGGGAGGTGGCACCCTCCCTCATACAGGGGGCACGGCAGGGCTGCTGTCAGGGCCGTGCGTGTCACCACGGCCGTGCCATGCTTCGTCCGGTGGAAGCCCAGACGCTCCGCCTGGCTGGATCGCCGGGTGCCTGCCGGGCGCGTGTCCACTGCCGTGCCTCTGGGGCTCTGGCTCTGAGGCGAGAGAACCTGTGGCCTCGGAGCTGGGGGCCCGTGAGGGCTGGCCCCACGCTGGCCGGTCCTGGCCCCAGGCCAGCGCCTTCAGGGTCCACGTGCCCCGAGTCACCCGCCCGAGCTTTTCCTGCCGGTGCTAGGGAGCCGCTGTGCGTCAGGCCTGTGGCTCCAGCGAGCCTTCAGACTCTGCCCCGTAGTGACGCTCCGTGTCCACCATTAGGGGTCACTGTTCCCTCAAAGCTGCACTGCGAAGCAGCAGGGGCCGCTGGTTGTAAGCAGATGCCGTCTGCTGGTCAGGGGGAGGAAACTGGGGTGAGGGTGATGGCATGGCCCACTCTCTGCGTCTTTCTTTCTAGGACGTACTTCCACTCTGTGGTGACTCCAGCCAGAGACCGTCAGAAGGTGAGCGCCCCCAGCCCCCCTTTTGCTCTGGCGTGTCGTGGTCCAGGACTCTTACCTGTCGTCCCCTCTCCGTGAGACAGACTTGGGGACGGAAAGCACAGTGGCGCCTGGGAAACAGCAGCGAGGGGGCAGCCCCAGCGCAGGGGGCGGGCGCAGGTCATTCTGCAGAAGTGAGTGTGTGGCCAGGGGCCCCGGGCTAAGTGCCAGCAAAAGGCTGGGATGCCAGGGGGCCACCTTGGTCCCAGAGCCCGAGAAACGGGTGGCCGGGGGGAGCCGTGGAGTCTGAGCTCAGGAGCTGACGTGCTCGGGGCACGGGCGGGAGGGAGTGAGAGGTAGGCCTAGAGCGTCCAGCCGAGGGGCCGTGCGGTGAGAGGCGAAAGCGCATGGGGACGGGAGGGGAGGGGCCGCCTCTCCCCCTCACCGTGGGAATGGTTCCCTTCTCAGGCCTGCCTTCTCTGGGGTCGCAGGACGGGGACAGTGGCTTGGACTCCGGCACAGAACGCTTTCCTTCCATCGGCGAGGTGGGTGCCGGCAGAGGCCAGCTGTGTGCACGTGTGTGTGCGGCGTCCCTTCTGCAGCCCGCCCGCTGCTCTGCGGCTCCGGCCTGTCGTCTGCACCTCCCCCGCAGTCCTGGCTCCAAGGGCCTTAGTCACTGCTCTGGGTTCCAAAAGAGGGGTTCCAAGCGCAGGATCGCAGACCCCCCCGTCATTTCCCCTGAGTGTGTCTCATAGAGCCGGGAGCAGCCACGTCGCTGCTGCGGCCTCTGAGTTTAGGGGGCAGGGCCGTCAGCCCTCTGCGGGGGGCCGTGGCAGAGCACTCTTCTGCCGCCTACGGCAGGACACGGAGCCTTCGGCCCTGGCCGCCTCGGCCCCCGCACCCCCGGTGCAGCCTCGGGCCTCGTCTCCCTGGGTGTGCTCGGTTTGCACACACGACCTGCAGACGCGGACTTGCCATGTAAAAGCACAGGGGAACGGGAGATGCCGGGACGTTAGCAAAACGCGTCCTTACCAGGTGAAACGCCTGTAACTCCTGGTTCTGAGTGACGATTGGGACGTCGTTTCCTTCCTGCTCCTGTCCAGTGGGGGGAGGGTGGCACACGGCTGTGAGAGGGTCAGTGTTGGGGGACCGCACGAGGGGCCCGGTCCTCGGTGAGCCGCAGCCGACGTCATCCTGAGGGCTCAGCATCCGAGGGCCACGCGAGGTGAGGGTGGACAGCTCTTTGCCGTCCAGCAAGTCTGGTGACCGCTCCAAGTAGCGTCCTTGTGTGAACAGTGGGAAGGGGCTGCGTGAGAACCAACCGAGGTGCCGGTAACCAGGGCCAGCAGAGTGCCGGGCACACAGTAGGCACTGAGTTCAAACTAGGTGATGGGGTGGCTACCACCAACAGACGAGCCAAGCCCAGAGGGCCTTCTGGGAGGGCTCCCCGCTTACGGAGTTCTCTGTCCTTTAGTCTCTGGTGAGTCGGGGCTCAGTGCCGTCAGACCCTGGGCTGGACAGCCCTCGTACCTCCCCTGTTACCACGGCCAGGGTAGCCCAGCACCACAAGTGGCAGGGCCCGGACGCACCCGGCGACCAGGTGAGTGGTCCAGACCGCCCTGCCCCCTTTCCAGAACCAGGCCTGTTTCAGGTGGACCTGGAGAAGCATGGGCGGGGGTGGGGAGCCTGCTCTCCCGCCAGGAAGCGACGCCCCAGGAGCAGAGAGCTGGCTTTCTCCTGGCGTCTGTAATGCGGGCAAGGCAGCCTCAGTGTTTCCCCGGAACGCTAGTGTCCAGTTTTCTTTATCTCTAACAGCGCTTTTCCTACACCAAACCTTTGGCACCATAGTTTAGAAAACAGTGGCTCACCCCCCGCCCTGACCTTTCCCATCAGCGGCCTGCGCCCCGCTCTGCTCTGGGGCCTCGGGCTCTGGCTGGGCGGGTCCAGGAGAGCCTCATGGAGGCCTGAGGAGAGCTGCTGGGACAGGCTGGGTCCCCGGCCCCCGCAGCGTCACTGGGAGGGGGACGCGGAGCTTCTCTGCTCCGAGACGCGTGCACTGTCCCCGTACGCCGACGCGCTACTCACTCTTAACGTCTGCTGCAGAGGAGCTCCGTCCTCCCTGCACCGCCCCCTGCAGCACACGCTGTCCCAGTGCCACCTGCAGCCCGCGTCGGTCACTCTCGGGTCTCGGGGGCAGTGGGGACGGGCCTGCGTGTGGGAGCGCCCGGGCAGCAGCTGCTGTGCCGGTCCCTCGGGGGCGTCCCATCTAGTCCTCACGGTCAAGAAGGGGCGCCGGCATTAGGGTCTTCACTGGGCCCGTGAGAGCCGGGCAGGTAGGGGCCGAGGGACAGGCCAGGGACAAGCCAGGGACGCAGCTCGCTCCCACAGCGTCCCAGTGAGACAGTGTGATCCTGGCCCCGCAGGGCTGTGCCTTCCGCCCGCCCCCAGTAGCACCCCTGGCCTAAGTTCGGGTCCCGAAGGAGGTCAGGGGCACGTCCTGCTCCGAGGGGAGGTTTTCAGGTAGGTGGCTGGCCACAGTAGGCATGGAGTCTTTTCCTCTCGAATTTTCATCTTCTGAAAACTATTTAAATTGCCGTGTTGGGGCGCTGAGGGCGAGTACGGCGCAGCTCCAGCGTCTCGGTACACCCCCGTCAGAGCACGGGGCCCGCACTGTCCCCAGCGCTGTCAGCGACAAGAGCGGGGCCGAAGGGGACTCTCACTTGCCGTCACAATCCTGCAATGTTTGATTTTTTTTTATAGTAATCACATTTTGCTTTTGTAATTTTTAAAAGAATTACACATTTGTAAAGATTTAAAGAAAAAGTCGTTCCCCAAACAAGCAAAAACCTAGTGCTTTCAGAGTGGAGTAGGGCCGCCCCACACCCCCTGGGGACCCCAGGCCCCAGGGGGTTCAGACAGCACGGTGCTCGGCGTGTATCTGCGAAGCCAGACATGGCCCACCAGGCTGACAGCACCTTGCACACGACAGCCAGTCTCTGGCCCCAGCGTGCTCCCGCATCGGCAAGTGCCAGCCTCAGCTCCCTGAGGTTCCCTCTGGGTCTCACGTTCTGTGACCCAGAGATTCGGGGCATGGACCCTAAACTCCCAGGAGAACAAAGCAAGTGAGGAGTGTCGGGGAAAGTGTCTGGAGAGCGTCTCAGGCCTGGACAGGGGCGGCGTGAGCTACCCAGGAGGTCCAGGAGAGGGCCCCCATTGGACCCCTGCTGGGCATCGCTGGGGATGAGGGCAGGTGAAACGAGTGAGAAATGGGGTTGGTCCGAAGCCGCGGCCGGGCATGGGAGCTGGAGCAGGGGGAGGGCCCTGGGTGAGGCCGTGCACACTGGCCCGGGGCGCGGAGAAGCCAGGCTGAGAGGTCTGGGGCATGACGGGCACCGGGGCAGGGAGCCGGCAAGGGGCAGCTGCGTCCCCTCGTGCCAAAACGGACCACAGGGCCCCTGGCCAGCCTGCAAAGTAGGCTGTGGCCGCCGGAACTTGGAGGGTGAGTTCAGGCGGGGGCTGTGGCGGAGAACGCGGGGGCGCCGGGTCCTCACCCCGCTGGCTGGCACTCCCTCCCGGGTCTTGTGCAAACAGGAAGCGAGCGCTTTCTCTCGCTGCCCACTGCCTTGCAGCCAGGCTGCCGGGCTGCTCGGCCACGCCTGCTGCAGTCACTTCCTGCAGGTGGCCGTGGTCCTCAGTCCCCGGAGACGGGGGCTGGGAGCCAGCGTTCGCCAGGCGCGTGTGGCTCTGTCTGCGCTGCGCTGTCACTGCACACGCGTCCCCAAGGGGGCGGCTCTCCGGTCCTCCAGCCTCTCCTGTCTGCACCCTGCTTTCTGCCCCAGGGCGTCGATCAGAACGCAAAACCCTTGATCATCGGCCCAGAGGAGGACTACGACCCGGGCTGTCTCAACAGCGAAGTAATGGTTCCTGCTTTTCTCCTTTCCTCATTCTTCGGTGGCACCAGCTGCTCTCGGCTCGAAGCAGCTTGGCTGGCAGCGGCTGGGGGCAGCGTGGGGAGGAAGCCGTGGTCTGGAAACCCCGGGGACAGACAGCACGGGCACGAGGCTGGGGCAGGCCGAGCGCCTGGGCCCCGCCTCTGAGCCAACCAGCCGCCCGCGTCCGTCTCCCTTGCAGAGCGACGCCGTCTTCCAGGACCTTGAGAAGCTGAAGTCGCGGCCGGCCCACCTGGGGGTTTTCCTGCGCTACATCTTCTCGCAGGCGGACCCCAGCCCCCTGGTGCGTCAGCATGTCCATCTCCCCCGAGCGCCTGCTTGCGCTCGGCACGTCGGTGGCCTCCGCCCTGCTCAGGCCCATGGGCCCTGCTGGGCATCTCGGGACACGGACAGGATAGGGGGAGCCTGCGTGGGAGGGCGCCTCACAGGAGCAGCAGGAAAACGTGGCCAGCTCGGAGGAGCTGGTCTTCGGGAGGTTTCTGAATGAGAATGACAGTGGCAGATGGGGGAGCTGAGAGAGTGGCCCTCGCACACGTGCCATCACTGTGAGGGAGCGTGCGGAGGGTGCGGCGAGCAGGGCCGAGGGGTGCGAAGGGCCTGGGCCAGTGCCCAGACACTACCCCGCGGCTGGGCAGGAAGGGGCCAAGGGCGAGAGGCGGAGGCCGTGTCCTCAGAACCAGCCTCCTGTCCCAGGCAGGGCTGCGGGCTCCTCCCGGGGGGTCCCACGGTTGGAAGCCGGCTCAGCGGCCACGTGCTCATGTTCACTGAACGCCTGTGTGTGGGATCCCTGTGCCCGTGCCTGGGCCGCATTCCCGAATGGAGACAGGACACTAGCGACGGGGAATGAAAGCGTGACCCCAGAGTGCCGTCCGTGCGCAAGTACAGGACACGACGCGCCGAGCGTGGCCAGGCCCCAGAGCTGGGGCGTGCTGCCCGCGAGGGTCCACGCGCCCACACGGGCACAGGCGGGCTCCTGCCTCGGCCGGCGCCCAGCCTGGGCGCCACCTCAGCTGTGGGACTGTTGTTTGTAGGGGCTGTCCTGTGCGACACAGGAAGTTGAGCCGTGTCCTGGGGCTCCACCCACAGGTAGCCGGGACACCTCTCCAGGTGTCTCCAGACGTTGCTGATTGTCTCCTGGTTGAGGACCAGAGCTCTAACTCACTCTCTCTCTCCCCAGCTTTTTTACTTGTGTGTAGAAGTTTATCAGCAGACAAACCCGAAGGATTCCCGAAGCCTGGGGAAGGACATCTGGACCATTTTCCTAGAGAAAAATGCGGTGAGGCAGGCACGGGTTGGGTTACAATTGTATCATCCTCTTTGGGCCACTTGGAGGCAGAGGGAAAACTGAGACATTCAGGCCGAAGGCAGACAGGTTCTCAGAGAGCTGCAGGCTGAGAGGCTGGGACCCCGGGTTCTGATCTAGCAATGATCCCCCCCGAACCCACTTTCGTGCCAAGTGCTGAGGCGGGATGCACACTGCCTCTCTGAGATGCTCCTGGGGGATGGCACCAAATCCCGGCGACCCTCCCCCCACCCCACCAGAGACCTGGTGGCCTGGACCAGGGAGCCAGTCGGGCTCTGATGGCCCACAGGCACGGTCCCCAGAGAGGGGGCAGATGAGCCACATCTGGACGTTGTTCCAGGCATGTGGCAGGGACTTCTGCCCACAAAGGCCAGTCCCTGCCAGGGGCTTTCTAACCTCATCCACTAAACTGACCCCAGGACGGCCTGACTGCCACTGAAACCGCCGGAGCCGAGGAGGTTGGGAAACGAACTGTTTTCCTTCGAGATGTTCACCTTGGCTCTTAAATGGGTCTTGGGTAAGGGAGGTTGGAGCTCCAGTTGTCCCCTGTCAGCTGTTAGGGGGCTGTCCCCACATCCAGCTGCTGGTGCTTGGAGCGAAAGCCAGAGCGTCGGGCTCATGAAGTGCAGTCACTGGCCGCTTTCCGCCCAGTAAGTGCACACTGGCCGCTTTCCGCCCGGAGTCGTCCAGGCAGCCCAGCCAGGCGGCTCCCTGCGGCCGAGGCAGCCCGTGCGGTGTTTGGAGCCCCTGCCGGGCCTGCAGCCCGCGGGCCTGGGGGTAACGGGACGTGGCGCCCGCCGCCTCCAAGCCCACTTCTCATCCCGGCCTCGGCTCGGCGGGTACGAGGTGGTGGGGAGCTAGGGCGAAGGAGAGAAGGCAGTGCGTGTGCCACACCCCGGGGTGCGACCTCGCTGCCTCTGCCCCCACTCTGCTTTCCAGCCGCTGAGAGTGAGGGTCCCACCGTCGGTGCAGGCTGAGATCGGTAAGTTGGTTCGCGAGTCAGCCCATCTCGTCCTGGGTGCCCAGGAGGCAGCCGAGCCCAGCGGGTCGCTGCCTCCAGAGCTGACACCGTGGGCCCGGGCCCCTCACTGCCGGGTGGAGCTTGTCACGGGGGGACACAGCGTGCTTAGGAGGCCTGGGCTCGCTTCTGCCGACCTTCCGCATGGCCTGTCTGGGCCTCGGTTGAGTCTTGTGTCCCGAGAGGAAACAGGGTGATGGGGGATTCCTCAGCCTGGCCGGTCACCAGGGCTGCTTGGGGTGAAAATACAGAAGCCAGGGCCTCGCTGCATCCCACCTGCAGGGCCAGGGTCCCTGGTGTTTTTGTAAGTTCCTTGGTTAATGCTGACAGCCATCAGCCTCTGGAGGGAGGGTGACAGGGAAGGGAGCTCATGGGCACAGGCAAGAGGCAACCTGCCAGGAGCGTGGCCTCGGCTGTGTGCAGCCCCGGCCCCTGCACTGGTGGGGACCGGGTTCCATGTGAGGGCCCGAGGACGGGCCCTGGGACACAGGCCTCTCGGAGGCAGCCCTCTGCTGTCTCGGCAGCATCTGCACCCAGCCCCCAATGGGCGCCTATGCTCCCCACTTTATGGGTGTGGACACTCAGATGCTTCCATTCTTGCCTGGGGCCTTGGACGTCAGGACCCCAGTCGTGCATTCGCAAGTGACCTGCTAGATGCAGGCCTCCGCTTCTTTTGGCTAATGGGCCGAGAGCTAGCGTCCCCTCCCACGGGGCTGGGACGGCTCAGCCATCATGGCCTCTGTCCCTGTCCTCGCTCCCGACAGAGTCGCGCCTGCGGAGTGGCGAGGACGTCCGGGCCGCCCTCTCCGAGGCCCAGGAGGCGGCCATGCCTGAGATCCAGGAGCAGATGCAGGACTACAGGTGGCCCGCCCCGGCCCTCGCCCTCCCCCTCCCCTGCGACGTGCAGGGGGGCCCCCTTCCCCTGCGACGTGTGGGCGTATGCCTGCCACGCGCTCGAGCACACTCGTCTGCGTCTCTGGCTCAGGACACGGCGCACTCTGGGCCTGGGCAGCCTGTACGGGGAGAACGACCTGCTGGAACTGGACGGGGACCCGGGCCGAGAGCGCCACGTCGCCGAGAGGCAGCTGGACGCCCTGGGAGACATTCTGTGAGTCTGGGCCCCTTACAGCCGGACACACTGCCAGGCCAACACCTCCCCCCTGCACCTCCCGCCCGGGCCTCCTTCCCCCACTGCACTGCGGCTGTTTCGGGGGGCATTCAGAGCTCGGGGCTCCTGGCAGTCACAGGAGGCTTTGACTGCCATGCGGAGGCGCTCTGCTCAGCCCGCCTCCCAGTCCCCCGTGTCTGACAAGCTGAGAGCCGGGCTGGAGCCCCAGAGGGTGCAGCCCCTCCCGAGGGGCACAGGGCTGGCCGGCTGCGGGAGGGGCCTCCGGCACAGCGCCGGGTCACTCCTTCCCAGTCTTCTGGCGTCGCGGCCCCAGGGGTGGCTGTGGGGACACATCGGGCTTAGAAGCAGGTTCCACCCCCAGCACCGCGGCTCTACGGCAGCCGTGCGGCCTCGGGCGAGCCTTCTCATCTGTAAAACAGCAAGAGTTGAACTAGGCCCCACCGATGCTGCTTTGCCAGCGCAGCGGGCATTTCCAGAGGCCCTACTGCGCGCCCGGCCCCGCTCCTCGTGGAGCTCGTGCTGTGGTGGGAAGAGGAAGCAGCGGCTGACGGAGAAGGAAGTTCTAGAGAACGCAGGGGCGCGGGGGACACACGCAGGGGTGGAGCAGCCTGGGGGGCACGTGCTGCAGAGCGGGATGCAGTGCTCATAAAGAGGGGGGTATCCTTGAGGACATTGGGGAAGGGCGTCCCAGGCAGAGGGAACAGCCAGGGGGAATGGGACCCTCCTCGGGGTGTGTGGCCACACATTGTGAGGAAGTGCCGGAGTCCGAGGGGTGGCGGGGATCCCCGGAGGGCCAGCGGACGGGGTAAGGACTCCGGTCTGCACTGTCCTCAGTGAAGCCGTGGGAGCTACGAGCCCCGGTGTGGGGGAGGGGTACGGGCGGCGCAGGAGCGGGGCGGGAGCGCAGCGGAGGCCGGGGCTGTGTGCGAGGGTCGGTTCTCGGTCTGTTGACGGACCAAACGAGGTTTCTCTGGAGACGTCTGGGGAGACTCCGTGGTTCTTTGGCCTGAGCCGTGAAAAGAACGGGCGCTGCCATTTGGATGGGGCCGGGCGTGTGCGTGGTCTTGCAGGACACCGTCCCCTCAGGTCTGGGCTCGAGATGGTGCTTAGACGTGGGGCCGGAGCTCTGAGCCAGCAGTGGCGCTGGGAAGAGGCCTGGGTGAGGGGCCACCGAGGCCGCACAGGGAGGGCGCTCTGCCCGCGGCCCTCCTACCCCCTTGGCAGTCGAGGGGGGCGGCAAAGCCTGCCTGTGCCCACGCCAAGGCCCGGGCACCACAGACTGGCATGGGGCTGTGACAGGCGTGGGCGCCCACTCACAGGGGCTTCTGTTTGAAGCAGCCGCGCGTGTCGGTCTTGGCCACGGGGCAGATGGCTGGGTGTAGGGCAGCTGAGCGAGGCCTGCAGAGCCGGGCCGTGCCGGGCCCCTGCCAGCACTCGGGCTGCAGTCCTGCCCCGTCGCCTTGGCAGGTGGCACCTTCGGATCAGGCCTTGGGTGCCGTCTGCTCTCTCCTCCGCCCGGCCCGCGTCGCCCCGGCCTCCTCCAGCTCCAGGAGGCACAGCAGGAGCCACCTCCGGCATGGCTTCCGAGGCCGGCCTTGCCGCCTCCCCTTCTGTAGCTTGAGAGACCTGGTTCGGCTGGTGTCGTAGCTGACAGGACCCTCGGGGCCGCTGGACCCCTGAGCCCTGTTGTCCCGCCCGCTCTCGGGAGGGGCCTCCCCGTGCCAGTCTGCAGGCGGGTGGGCACGGCCCCCGCCGCCCCTGCGTCACCTGCTCTCTCTCTGGTTCCAGGTCCAAGTACGAGGAGGACAGGAGGTGAGTGGCTGCTGCGGCTCCACAGTGGGCAGGACTGGGGCTGAGCGCTGCCCTCCCCACCTCTGCCCGTCACAGAGTCCCCGGCACTGCGCGGTCGCCATTCGTCCCATGCTGCCCCCAGGTGCCACCATCACACGACCCAGTCGTGAGGCCCAGGCCCTGAGGCTCGGGGTCACTGCCTGGGACAGGGCCCGCTCCTCAGCTGCCATCCCCCCAACCCCCACGCCCGCCCACACTGGCCCCGGCCCGCCTTCCTCGGCCCTGGAGAAGAGCCCTGGGCAGCCGCCGTCCAGCGCGCTCCCTCTGGGCACACGGGGCCAGTTTTCACAGCCTGCGGTTGGGGCTGTTTGTCAGCAGCCGCTATTGAGATGAGCACATGACGGGGACAGGCGGAAAAGGGTCTCGGAGGAGAGGGCAGCCAGGGCCGGGCCTGCAGTGGACATTCTGTCTGCCAGACCGAGCGCCTGAGCGTCAGCCCAGAGCTCTGCCCGCCTCGTGCCTGGCAGCTGGGGCCCCCTAGCAGCTCCCCGTCTGCTGCTCACGCTTGGGGTGGCAGAGGCAGGTGTGCATCTCTCCCTTTTCCTCAGCCCCCCCCCCCCACACCTAAGGACTTAACTGGAGGCCCCCAAGTCCTCCAGGCCCGCCCACAGCTGCTGCACTTCTGTTTTAGGGTCCCACGTGTCCTTCCCCTGAGCCCCATCCTGGCACTGAGAACCTCTCAGAAAGGACACAGCCCCCCAGGTCATGCAGCCAAGACCCCCAGCCCGCCTCTGCCCACAGCCGCCCACACACACCCACACACACACTGCTCCAGGCCTCGCTCTGAGCACCCTGCCCGTACCACCCCGTCTCGCCTGCTGGTGGAGACATGGTTGAGCTCTGGGTCAGCGCTTGCCTTGTCTTCCAGCACCACCATGGCCTTGGCCCTCAATGCCTACCTGAGCCACGCTGGCATCCGGCTCCGAGAGGCACGGCCGTCCAGCACAGCCGAGAAGGCCCCGTCTGCCCCTGACAAGGACAAGTGGCTCCCCTTCTTCCCGAAGACCAAGAAGGTGACAGGGCCGCCCCAGAAAGTCTCTTCCCTTGGCGTGGCTCCCCACGCTGGCCAGCCTGGGAGAGGCCTTTAGCAGTGGGCTAGCTTCCCACCACCTTGGCCTTGGAGAGCAACCTTTTCCGTCCCTCTGAGCCCCGGCCGGAAGCTCGTGTCCCGGTCAGGGGACAGGCAGGAGCCTGCTGTCCAGCTTCGGAGCGGGAGCAGAGTGGCCTGTGGCCCGGGCGTCGGGACCAGCTCTAAGCCCGGATTCTCTTACCTCAGCAGAGCAGCAATTCCAAGAAGGACAAGGACGCCTTGGAGGACAGGAAGCGGAACCCCCTCCTCAGATACATCGGGAAGCCCAGGAGCTCCTCCCAGAGCAGTGAGTCCATGGGGACAGCGGCGCGGTGGGGCCACAGCCCTGCAGGTCCTCTGAGGGACAGGCGACCGTGCCAGCCCCAGCCTTCGTCTGGGGCCCAGCACCCGTCTTGGCTGCCGAGCAGCCGCCTGGAGCAGCGTCCCCTTGGGCGGGCGGGCGCTGTTGACAGCCGGTGCCCCCGACCTCCACGTGGGACTCTGTGCCGAGGGCCCGTGCGTGGGGATTCGAGGCGTTCAGCAGAACGATGCTTGGGGCCCAGAGGCCCCCAGTGCCACCTGTAGCCCGGCTCCATCGACCCTGCGGGTGTCACTGTGCACTTGGCCAGAAGTTGCGGCTGGCCCTCGCCTCCGGCCCCAGTGCTGGTCCTGCGGGTCTGCGAGGGGCCGGGGGGGCACTCCTGGTCAGCCGTGGTTTTGGCCACGACTTCATTTTCCAGCTTGATGTGATTTTTACTTTGATTTTTCGTGGTTCACCTTTGTTCTTGTTTGTTTTATAGCATTTCGTGTTCCCTCCCCCCACCCCCCACCCCCGTGGAAGGTAAAAGGACCGTTTTCTTTCTTTGTTTTTTTTCTCCTGCATCAGCATCCTTTCCATTTCCCAGGTCCCGTCTCTACTCTTTTCTTCGTCCATCCTGTCCTCCCCTCCTGTCCCGCCCTCGCCCCTCCGTCCTGCCCCCACTCCGCCCCACACACGCCTCCGCGTTGCTGAGGCTGCTCTGGGACACGGGCACCCCCGGGAGGGGCTCTCGCCCCGCGGCCTGGGCTTTCTCCACCTTAGTCGTGCGGCACCGCAGGGCTGCAGCGGTTAAGAGGGAGCTCTAAGCGACCCTGCGGGGCGCTAGGGGACCTGCCCCCGTTTTCTAGTCTCTGTAACCAAACACGAGACGTGGTGCGCGTCAGCCCGGAGAAGCCTAGGTCCTGGAGCCGGACAAGTTTGTTTCCATCAGGGCGGTCCGCGTGTGGACAGTTAAGTGGCTAATGTTTTAGGTCCTGCAGTAAATCTACGGGGTGAGATGTAAGGTAATCAGGGACTTATTACTAGAATTCGTTTTACGTAGAAGTAACAACTAAAAAGTAATGAGCTTCAAAGTTACTTTTTAAATTATTAAATTCCTAGACTCACCATGCAGCTCCGAACAACAAAAACAATCACCGAAAAGTGGTTATAAAACAATAGGAAAAATGATAGAATGGCCTTGAAACCCAGGCCTTTGGTTTATAACGCGCCCGTGGGGAGGAAGGCACCAGGTGAAGAGCTTCAGGGGCCGGAGCCGAGCGTCCAGGCTGCTTACCGCGTCCGCGGGGAGGGGCAGGAGAGCCCGAGGCTGAGCCGCTGCCCCGGTGGGGTGAGCACTGGGCCGGCCTCTTCCATACCGTTTGCGATTGGGTTTGCCGTGCTCGGGGTCTGTGTCCATGTGCAGAGACCTTACAGCCCCCCAACCTGGAAAGCCTTGGTGTTGAGCTCTGCTGTGTGAGGCAGCAGCTGCTCGCCCTGTGTGTGAGTGGAAGCCTCTGCTTGTCAGCAGCATCGTCCACTTCTGTCTGGTTCTGCGGTCATTCAGAGACGGGAGGGAGAGCCGGGGCTGCTAGCGAGACTCCGCTCGTAGGCAAGCTGCTGTCCACCCGCTCCCCGTGATCAGGCTTCTGTTACACCAGCTCTCGGGGCCACTATAGCTAGGGCGTAACTATCCCAGGGACAATCGGGCGTTTTCCATGTGGCCCATGGGCGAGGGAGCAGTGGCCTCAGCCTGGTGGCTTTCTGCGACAGGGTGTCCCAGGCTCCATCCTCAGCCAGCCAGCCAGGGCGCCTAGGGCAGGCACGTGTGGTCTTGGTCTCCCAAACGGGAGTGAGGGCAGCACCCCTCCGCGACACACACAGCCACCTGTCAGTCTTAGGAGTGTCACCCTAGCTTCTGCCTGAGGGTGTGGAGTCGTGAGCCTCGGAGAGAGACCAGCTGTTTCTCTTTCCTCAGCCTGGAAATCTGTTCGTGAAGCTCGAGTCTAGATGCGTAGGGAGATTTGTCAGGTGTACGTGTCGACACTGGAGTCTGAAACAGCGTGGACACCGGTCAGGATGGTGGGCGCAGGGCTGAGCCCCCCTGGGGTAGTTGCTGCCCAGTCCCTCCTGCCCGTTGGTCTCAGGCCGGTTGCGGGTCTAGCCCAACTCCTATTCTCACGGCACGCGCTGAGCTTGGGGCTGAGCAAGCTGACTTGGTGCGAGAACTGACTTGGGGCAGTGTCCGCCGGCGCCACGCCTGCCTCCCACCCCCACTCCCGCGTGCCTCTGCGCTGCTTCGGCCGAGGGCAGCTGCCTTCCGTCTCAGCTTGGGAAAGCGGCTGGAATTTGAGTGCCCAGGAGTGCGCTTCTCCTGAGACCCCTCCCGGCAATAAAAGCCATAACTCCTTAACGACGGAGACCACGTCGGGGCACCACGTCGGGGCACGGGGACAGAAAGGACGGCAGGAGGGTCACGGGGAAACAGCGGGGACTCTGACAGTGCTGCGAACTTGGAAAACGCTTGACGTAATTTGGCAACGTGGCCAAGTTACATGTAGATACGTGTGGTCCTCCTGGCTATTTTTTAACTTGTAAGTGGTTCTTGAGAACAACCTAGTCACAATTTCCGAGCAGAAGACTCGTAACAAAGAATGTGAGAGCCAAGAGGTCCGCGTATGGAAGACGCACTTCTAAACGCTCTCACTCTGCAGACAGGGAGGAGCAGATGCAGCAAGGCAGGGACCAGGGACCGCAGTGCCCGGTGCAGTGCAGCGGGGGCCAGGGGGGGCCTGCCTGCCACTCGCGGGCGCCCCGCCCTCACCCCGCGGGGCTGGCCCGCGGCTCTGTTCTGGGCTGGAGGGAGAGCGTCCAGCAGGAGGCAGCATGCCCTTCATTGTCTCCCTGCTTCCAGTCAAGCCAGGCAACGTGAGGAACATCATCCAGCACTTTGAGAACAGCCAGCAGCAGGATGGCCCCGAGCCCGGGATGCAGCGCCTGTCCACAGGGAGCTTCCCCGAGGACCTGCTGGAGGGCGACAGGTAGCAGTGCGGGGGCGGGCGGGGGGGCTGGCCGGCCCGGAGGAGGGGTGCGTGGGCAGGGCATGGAGCTGGCTTTGATTGCAGCTGCCCCAGCACCTTCACTAGACCCAGGGCGCCACACCCGTCCCGCCTGGGTGTCAGTGGGAGACTCCGGCTGTGGGCAGAACGGGGAGCAGGCCCAGCCTCTCAGCTGGGGCGCACACCCCTCCAACTGCCCCGGATCCATCCGCAGCTGCTCAGCACTCCATCCCAAGGGGGAGCTCGATTATGCTGTGAAGCAGCTAAGCGGAAACCCGGCCGACAAGGCTGAGAAGGGGAGCCCTGGGGGCAGGAAGTCAGGAGGAGCAGGAGGAGCACAGCCTCTGACACCCGCGGGGAGGGGCCTCGAAGGCGGCCAGAGGCGCCATGGCTGTCAGGTGTTCCCACCCAGAGAGGCGA